TGATTCTACAAGTAAAAATGAGTCGAAAGGGAAGGAAAAAATTTTTTCGTTAGAGTCCTCGAGAATAATCGAATTCATACAGTGAATTTGGCTGATTTCGTATTGGACAGGATTTGGTTAATTTCATATAATCGACGCAAGAATATTTCACGTGCAAAACCATCCACTGGATACAATATTAAACTAATCGACAGAAAAGTTTCATAATTACTAACATAATTACAATTATACAATTTATACTCTTTTACGTGATGTATCCAACAATCAGATTAGATACTTTTAAGAAATAAAAACATATTCAATGCCAGTTCAATTCTCATTGCCATATAACATAACATCAATAATAATGATATTATTATTATTAACATAATTTTATTATATTTACGTAACCAATCTGATTATAGGCTCAATTAGGTCAAATGTTCTTAACAAACAGGAACACATTCGATGCCAGTTTTCCAATTAAAGACACGAAAAAGGCAACTTAAAAAGAAGAAAAAAACCAGCTAAAAAAAAACATAAACTAGAGTAGAAAGATACAAAGTAGTAACAGGCGCGTAGGCGAAATTATATCGCTCGTTAGAGGATTTCAGCATCTATTTCTGGAACCCTGGTGGTGTCAATGGCGAATACAGTAGTAACCGCACATAGAGCATGGTCAGTCGGAAAACGTAAATCTCACAGTGGAAAACTAAAAGGCGGTCACGGCGGCCCGTTCCCCGTTGAATTTTCGATTCGTTGAACTCGGACTTTGTCTACCTAAGCGCTTAATCTCTGCGCGAAGCAATTTATGTTATTGAAACGCCTGTCGACTCTCTCCCCCCCCTCCCCCTCCCCCTCTGTAATCACTTGCATGCGAGATAAACTGTAAACCACTGGCCAAAACCACTCGATACACTCGGCACTTCTCACTTCAATTAATTACGCGCAAGCAATTAATTACGTTGCTGTCTTACGCGTTAATTGTTGATAAGTAGGCCACGTTGCATACTCTGAAGCTTTTCAGTCAACGAACTGTTCATACTGTTCTGGATCAGTTGCCTCGCCATTTTGAAATTGAGGAAGCTTCGTAGGGAAGATGCCATCGCAACTTGTTTGCGTGCTTGATTCCTTCGTTTTTTGTGGAGAAATCGCTACGATTGTCGTTCGCGAGATATTTCGTCGATAAAAGCGAAAGGATTTAGGTTACTGATTCCTTTTATGTTTAATAAACTTATATAAGTGTCTTACGAATTTTTTTTCCAAATTATTGGTCGAGATACTTCAAGTTCTTATATAAAAAAAAAAAAACATGCGAATTATTTCGTTCATAGCATATCATGCTACGAACGATACTGCTTGACGAGATATCTCGTCCATAACGAAACGAAAATTGTACAAACTGTCTCGTAATTTAGGAAAACCATAATACATAGAGAAAATCACTCGCTTGAATTTTGTGCTGAACACGGTGAAGATAAATAAAGATTAACGCGCGAAAACTTTGCTAAAATTTTCAATTATTGTCAGTAGTTCTTAATCCTTCAATCTCACTGTGCTTAGAATCGAATGAAGACAGAAGTCTCCTTTTATACTCAGAAAAAAAATAAATAAATAAATAAATTCAGTTCCAATGAAACGTGTAGTTTCATATTTCGCCTATACATATATGTTCTCACGCAACAGTTCTCAATTAAATTCATTCTCATTGAAATCGAACGACAGACTCCGAAACACCGAAGCGCGAACAATGCGAGCGAAGCTTGAAAAAAATTTAACGGTTCTTGCAAATCTAAAAGAATCCCGCGAACGAGGTCAAGAGCCAAACAAGTTTTTCGGGCTACAAAGAATCGCACGCATTGTTGTGACACGTGTATTGACGAAACGTGTTATTTTCCGTTCGTATTTGCGCAGTTTCCAGCAAATAGGTCTGACGGTTTGTCTACGATTTTATTCACACACACGTGGATGCGAGCGAGCCGCTGTCCGCGGGAGCGGAATCCGTGAAAATAAAATACTTAAAAGGGAAAACGGACAATACAAACAAGTAAGGAGAGGCGAATGATCAAAGCTACTGGTTTAATTCGATTTAGGATTGTTCACTGAAACCTCTCTGCCGATACTTCCGCGCTTTTTCTCACGATGAACACTGTTATTTCAGAAGTACCAACCACCGAATCTGAAGACGCGGATGCAACGTTCTATTCGATCGGTATCATTTGTCTCGAATTGAGGATAGAAACACTACACATACCGTATAAATTAATCGTAAATAAAATACGTACGTAGAATGTATATACAAATTCGTCTTCTCATGAAATCAACGAGCATATAAGTTAATCTTTTTTATCAAATAAAATATATGTACGTGGAACGCGTGTATAAGTTAATCGTTTTATGGAATCTTATGGGATCAAGTAAATTGATCAACAGTATGTTAAAGGTATTACTAAAATTAAGAAAGAATTTTTTTTTTGTCTGGTCAGTATTTTATAGGCTATATAGAAGATGGTAACATCGTGATTTACTATAATTGGATGACTTAAAGTTTGGAATTTGACATAGTAACACGTTTCTGGGAATAATTGATTTTAGGGTTATTATTAGACTGCGGATTTTTAGACGAAAATTTTGATTTTTGAGAATATAATTGAGAAACTATTGTCACGGTAAAAAATTGTTTTACTTACGAAATGTTATAGAAGGTACAGAATGTGGTTTCGATATTTTATATATTTTCTTGATTATTATAAGAAATTTCGCGCGTTAAAATTTGCTTGCATAAATGCATAAAAATCTACAATCTAGTTACGATTATAACTGTGTAATACAATATTTTTCAATTATTTCCTTGAATAACAAATATTAATGGAACCTAATAATTTATCATCCTACACAATAATAATCAACCTACGTGAAACGTGAGCAGACCGTAGGCATATATTGCCACACGTTGTCAGACGAATTTGCCCGGCAAGTTAGAAAAGCAAGCACACACGAGGAGACATTTAAAATACAGGAGACATTTTTTTCTTGCCGCAGGCTCGCCAGCTCTCCGACCGGGAAAGAGGAGGATGCAGGCGGCAGTTCAATGCAGCGCGGTCGAAAGACAAAAGAGTGATAAATCGTTACCGTGTCTCGCGAATAAAGTCTTTGCAACCGGCGGACCGCGAATCAGAACGTTCGTACTATTACTTGCCGTTATTGTGCGAAAACGCGACCCGTGTATTTCATCGTAACGTCATCGGCATGCCGGCGGTGTGCAGGTGCAACGACAGGACCGCTGCATCACGCATCATACTCGCTAAATAAGTTTGAAAGCCGCCGGTGATAAATTTTCATTGTACGCCGTATATTTCTTAACCCTCTGTCGTTACGTTTCCAAGCGTTCCTTTTTTTTTTTTTTCCGCCCGTGTACACGCTGTAAATGCTGTAACGCGGCACTCAGGTCAACAATTCATCGAGACGAAGAAATTCGGGTAGAGTTTTGAGAAATAATACTCAATCACGTGGGCCAAGATCCTCATCAGATCATTATATTTATTTTTCACGTTTATATTTCTGTATTTATCAAATTATTTATATGTTTCTCTATTATATTAATATTTATGTATTTACATGTTATGTTATATTGCATTATACTATTCTATTACCTTTTATTATATGTAATCGTTTATAATAAAATTTCAGAATAGTCAGAGATGACAGTGTGCATAATACAAGGATGGATCGCTTAATTCGAAATTTACCTTTTGTACGAGGAAATGTTGTATGGTGTTAAGATGGTAGTACAATGAACGACGATAGGTTTAAATTCGAAAGAATTTAACGAGTAAAATCCACCGAAGTGCGTATGGGCTCGGAAATCATTAATTTCTGTCACGTTTCGATCAAGGTTTTCAACAAAAAATTTCGCGTGCGCAAGTTACACCTAAAAGTTACCATGAACGAATCAATTAACTCAACAACAATAAACGATGCGCCAGCTGGTTGATTTTTTAAGTCTGTTACGTTTGTTTGCGAACTTCATTTGAACGTAGCTGTTTACGATCGACGTGGGTGTAAACACGGACGAACAATTAGGATTGGTAATCGAGTTTTGACGTGTGACGCAGCGATAACTTTTAAGAAAAATTTCTATGTAAAAAAGAAAAAAAGAAAAAAAAAGCAAAGAAATTGCGAACGAGACTCTCAGACACTTGTGATTATCTCCTTTCGGATTTTCAGCAACAAGCGAAACATTAGTCTTCTATTTTTTTTCGTTTGCAATCGTGAAGAAACATATATTCTATATATTCTAAGTTAATACTAATATAATTCTGTATATTCTATATATTCTAATACTATTATATTAATACTATATCATAGAATTATATTAATATTATTATATAGAATTATATTAATACTATTATATAAAATTAAATTAATACTAATATAACTCTATATATTCTAAGTTAATATTAATATATTCTATATTCTAAATTAATAACTAACATATTCTGTATTAATTTTTCGATATTTAATAATTGTGTATATTTTATCAAAAGTACAGTTCGTTTCACGTGATTTTGAATTATTTGTCGGATATTTCATCGGCAAGAAACTGCAAGTTCAAATCCAACATTCCGCGAATATTACGCTCGATGCACTTTTCTTCTCTAAAGTTCGCTTTCACCGCGTGGAACCGCGAGGTCTAATCTCAGAACGGAAAGAATTGCACCTTGCAAGATATTCATCAATCTTCGAGGATAATGTTCATTTAACCACTGTCACGCTTGTCTTCCGTAATGTTTCGGGTAACGTTTAATTATATCCACGCGCGCACGTTTGCCAGCAAGGGATAAAACGGGACGAAAGAACATACTGATAAATCATTTCTTGTTAGAGAAATAATTCCGAGGAACTTGTTTCACACACACTTTTCCTTTTTCCTCTTTCCCAACGGCCCGGCGTGATTTTTTTTAATCGCAGGAAAACATCATACAACGTCGCAGTTTTATTTTTAATTACACGTCTCTTACCGTCCTCGCCATTCCCAAGAACTATGGTGTCTCCGTCCTCCCGCCTCCAAGTAATATTCGGAGTCGGGGATCCCTTAGCAGCGCAGCGTAATGTAACGTTGCTGCCTTCTCTGACTATCATGTCGGTGCTTGTCATGTAGTCTAAAATATCGGGCGGAACTGGAAACAGAAAAATTGCAAATTGCAACGCCGAGGAAGCAAGGTTGTTTTATACGAAATATTACGTTGATTACAGATAGCGTCATGTAATTCATAAATATTGTCTCCGTTTCTTTCTCCTTAAGAACGATGACTCCGTGCGCTACGTGACGAAACTAAATTTGAATTTACTTGAACTTCCCCCGCGAGCTCGTAGGAGTTCTCGTGCTCTCGAAATAAATCTAAGAATTTAAATGACAGCGTTGAATAAACAGCCCGACATCGGGAATTATCCATTATTAATGTGAAAGTTTATTATCGTCGGTTGGACTCCAATACCGGCATGATGAATGCGAATACGATTGCTTGAATATGGTACGTCTTGGTCTTTTCAGAATGCCTCGACCGCGTCCTAGACTTACTTCTAAGCAGCAGCGCACCGTTTGTCAAACATCTGCCGGTCAGAGAGAATGTTCAAAAGAAAATCTCTGAATGCGGAGAAGGCTAGCAGGGAATTTAGGTGGTACGGAACACTGGCCACTGTACCATCGTGATGTAGTCCACGAAACTGCGCGAATAAATTAAATGCGAAAATTCAAAATTCACAAAGGCCGATTTTGAGGGATACCGTAAGACTTCGAACGATCTCGTTCTTTTCTTCATTTAGCCAAATACGCGGAGAGCATACGGCGAAGACTATGCCCGGACTACGAGGCGAATGTTCCTATTCTTTATGCTGAGCTTGTCTGTCACTGGCCGTGGGATGTAGTCGAGCATTCTCGCGGAAGACTTTTTTAGCAGGTTTTTCCAAGTCGTTTGCTCTTTATGGTTCGCAGACGTTTTAACGTTGCGCGGCAAGCGAACGCGTCGCTTTGATCGAATTAGAGCATTAGCATCCTCGCTGTATCATGTTTGTCAATAATTTCATCGCGCGAAATTATTCGATAGTTTAATTACTGATCGATAACTCGGAATATTTTGTCCACCCTCTGTTTATTCTATGTACATATTTATCTCTTCTATTTATTTTTCATCCTTTAGCCCGTATCGGAGTAACGTACAGATAATCTGAGATTTTTTTTTTTTTTTTTTTTTTTTTTGTTAAAATAACTAGTTTACTTTTGTGTGATTAATATGTGATTCACAAAGAGAATATAATATATATTGAATTGAAAATGTATTGAATAAATATATTAAAAATTACGTGCAGACTATCTCCGTTGTTTCTTTGGAGATGTAGAAAAATTGTTTAGTACAGAGAGAGTCATAATATGACAGTAATTTATCTCAAGATCACCTTCACTCTTTCAAATGGAACGCTATATTTTTTCCTCCATTAATCGATGCAACTCGATATTCTCCATATTTTAGGTTCAATTTTATAAAGTTTATGCCTGAAAGACAAGAACGATATAAACAGAAAAATACTATCCTTTTCATATGATAAATTTTACAGAATTAAAGCGTTGATTAATGGAGAAAAAAAAATACATCATTCCATTCGAAGAAAAGTGGAGGCAATCTTGAAATAATCTAAAACCCTTCAAACTAAAAAAAAAAAAAAGACTATTACTATCATTTTATGATCTTTTCTGAACTCTTTTATTAACAGTTTCTTCATATTTCCAAAAACAGTTATTTGGAGATATTCATTCGGTATTAAACTTTTAATATAGCAATTTTAGTGAGTACTTAAAAGATTAATCCATCACGAATAACAATATTGATAATACTCCATTTATGATCTTTTACTCATAGAAATTGCACGTAGCGGTAGTCAAAAAAGTTTAAAAAAAATTTAAAAATTGCTTGTTGCCAGTCAAACTTAATTTAACGGACAGATACAGACTTACTAGTCGAGCATATAGTAAATTATACTTGTAAATAACCAACCTACAACATCCAAGTAACCAGTCTGGCTCTTCATCGGATCGGTGTTTATTTGACACATGTAGGCACCTCGGTCGGATTCGCTCACGTCGCGTATGTGTAAATGCCACGTTTTCCGCTCGGTGTGCGTTACTCCGATCCTATGATTCTTCGTAATTACGTGATTTGCTATCGTTAGAATTGTCTGTGTGTCCACTCGCAACCATGCTACCTGGAAAAAACAATGAGAAGTGCAAATGTATTGGAACAATCTCGATACACATATACATATACGTATTAACAGTAGTTGCACGTGTTAGTCTATTAATTTGTAATTTAATTTAACTTTTTCAAAATTCGACTTTAACAACGAATGTATGTATTGCAACAAATGAGTTGACAAGCGACAAAGCGCTCAAAGATGTTTATAATATCGAAAGTCAGTTTTTCAAGCAGATTCTAATTACAGTTCTTGCACTTATAGTTGTTTCAGTTCAAAGTTTGCACGTATGTCATTTCATCTAATAGGATCAAATGTTTTCATGGTAAATAGAGGTAGACACGTGGCAAGACCATGGTACAGTAACAGGAGTAATTTATGGACACGGGAACCGTTCTTCCTTGGAGCTTAATCCTTTCGTTGACCGACACTGCTGCCTTGTCAAGCTGTCAGTTATCAAAGTGATTAGGATATTTGCGATTCTACAACGACTGTTTAGATTTTCTAGGTATTCACTTGACTGGCTAGTCGTGTTGCAGTTTACCATTCACAATTTTTATAATTCATATTACGATCGAACACAGAAAATTGAAACACAAATAATTTGGTAAAAGTTATTTTGTTATCTTGTTAAATAGGTTCGAAGTTTTCTTTAACGCGGGTCAGATGTACCGTAGATATTATATTTACGTGGACAGTATTATATTTACTATTCTTACGTATTGTCATCCCTTGAGAATGTCGAACAAATTGCTTGCAAATAATTGTTTAAATATACCTACATCTCATTTATATCTATCTCTAAACAGAGATAGAAATTATTTTCTAATATTAAATAATTATCGAGCGTTCTGTAATGTCAGTCAAATGTACTGCTTCGATAAAAAAGTTTGTCTGCAAATATGGCAATTTCAAATAGATATATCATTATTTAATGCGGAAAGTATTGAACTCTTTAATATACAAGAAGTTGATGATAAAAATTAATTTATTACGTACATCATTAACGAAAATACTTCATTTTATACAAATTTTATCTTGTTTTTGAAAATTTATATAAAGTTACAGAAATACAAATAAAGAAGTTACGAAACACGGCGCTGGTTATCGCACGAAAACGACCAATCATGGGAAAATAAAACAATAATTTTGACGTGACCGAGTATCGGTAACAGTGTTAAGAGGAGAACCGAAGGAAGTGAACATTTTATAGCACACTGCATAGGGTATTACGTCCGTCGATGATTGTTACACGATTTATTACCATCCGAGTCTTCAATCTATTTTATTGGATACTTAAAATTACGATCGTGAAACTGGTTTAAACGGTACACTTACACTTTATAATAACGATGAAGGTAAACATCAAATTAAATGCAAAAATCCATGCGATAGTATTTAAAAATATAATTACATTTCGATAATTCAATATTTGCTCAATCATTTAAATATCAATGACACTTCTCAGAGATAACATTGGAAAGAAATAATCAAGAAAGAAAGAATAGTATTAATCTATACGTATTAATAAAATAAAGATTCGTAGAAAACGTACCAAGGTACGAAGTCAATATTAACAAAACCAAGTGAAAATAATCCCGCAAATAATCGAGCCGATACGTTCCTCCGTACGTTTGTTTGATATTTTAAAATGAAAATACGCGGTGTATTAATTACAGCATTTTGGAGTATCGTTTAAACATATTTGTTTGTACAGCGTTAATAAGACACAGCGACGACCAATACTGATTTATAGATCGCCGTTGCCATTCAGTCAGGGTAATTAGAACATGGCTGTAAAAATATATACAGCCAATAAAATTTTCCCTACTCTCGGGGCCGAGAGTAGATTCTCGCATTTTCCAGAAAATCCCCACTTTAATCATTCCTCGATATACTCTATTTTTCCTTCGACTTCTCTCCCTTTTCCGCTTACTTACCCTATTATTTGTTTCTTTCTTCCTCATTTCTCACGATTCCTATCCAATTACTTTCGCCACGATTTATTCGCCATGAAGTTTCCTTTACACCGGGAATCAGTTTAAAATTTGCCATTCGGTTTGCGATCAGTATGGAAATTCACTGTTTCAACGTTAATGCACATTAAAGTGTCATTGTTATATTTTGGACGTGATTATGGCCCGAAATTATGGTAATTTTGCAATTTAATGCCCAATGAACCTTGTACAGTGAAGAGCACGAGTGGACCAATAACAATTCAAACTGTTGTAATTTCGTAAGAAGAAATTATATTACAGTCCGCTTGATCTGATTTTAAAGCTTAAGACCTTTATTCGCGCGGCCTTTAGTTCGTTTCTTCCAGAGGCGATTTTGCATCATGCAGAGGGTGGGAAAGTAAAGATGCTCTTTCCCCGGATATTGTGGAAATTCAAACTAGAAGTATTAAAAAAAATTTGTTCATAATTGAACCCGTCACAATATTGAAGATTGAAATCTCCTTTTTACAACGACCTCTAAAAACCTGTTGCGCGATCCACTATTTTATTGAATTTTGAACAAAAGTTTAGTTTTAACATTCGAAGTTCGAACAGATTGTTGAAAGAAATCAAACAGCAAACTATGGGGTATCGTTGTAAAGAGGAGATTTCAATCTTCCAGGTCGTGATAGAAATGTTCGAATTTTGACAATTTTCCAGAAAAAAAATTATCCTCGTTCTGCCCTTTGAAATAAACTCACCAATCGTCAAAGTAGACGTATTTGTTAATTACAACGTTAAGACATTTTATTTATTTCAGCTTTTACAGCTTTTCACACAGCGTTATTACTACGTTATGATATTTTCCCCCATGATATTTTCCCAATAATACCGCATCAGTATAAAACCTGTTAGGAAATTTATGTGAAAGATTTCCACGTGGATTCTCTGTCGTATAATTTCACAGCTCCGCTGGTAAAACCTCGTGCAATCAACGTACGATCAGCGAAATGCATATTTATAAAAGGTGAAAAACGAAAATTTTTTCCCCTCCTCCCCTCTTTCCCGTCACGGCGATCCGCTGCTATCAGTGGAATGTAGATGTTTCGGCGTGTTGCGAGAATTGGTGAAAGCCGCGTGGCATTCGAGTGGTAACAATGGTAATGCATTCGTTGTATTTAATCAAGCGTCAAACAATCGCGCACGTTGAGTTAACTAAGCGTCACACTCGGCGAATCATCCGCGTTCTGTGTGACCACGAGCCTGGATAAAATGGTTGCCGCTTGAGAGAGGCATCATTTCTCCCTAGCAACTGCTCCCTTGTCTCTCTATTCAGCATACTTGTCCGGAATACCTTCACGCAAGCAATCCTCCATAACACTCGCATCACTTGCAACTATTGCATTACGCAGCCTTACGACGTGACGTTCATTCATTCATTCATTCATTCATTCATTCATTCATTCATTCTTCGTGAATATTTTTTCTCTTTTCGTGAATCATCAGCCTTGCGAATGAAAGTAAAGAGACTGCAAAATTCATCTTATTATCGACTTTGTAATTTCTCTATTTATTTGAGATCGATATTAAAATATAATTAGATATAAAGTATGTGTATCCTTTGCCTCAAAATCTACCCATACAAGAGAAACATACACAGCCTTACGACGTGACGTTCATTTATTCATTCATTCATTCTATATATATAACATTCATATATATATATATAACATTAATATTTATATATTATATTAAATATTATTAATATTTATATATATATTTAATATTAATATTTATATATATATTTTTTATCTTTTCGTGAATCATCAACCTTGCAAAATGAAAGTAAAAGGACTGCAAAATACATCTTACTGTCGACTTTGTAATTTCTGTATTTATTTGAGATATCAAAATAATTAGATATAAAGTATGTGTATCCTTTGCCTCAAAATCTACCATAGGAGAAGAATATATAACTGTACGCAACATTCTTATAGATTTTCCATCTATATAACGAGAAGATCAGATCAACAAGTTTGATTGAAAAATTTCCCATTTCAATTTCCCTTGCCTACGAGTGTGTCAGTTAATCATCAGTCGCGACGAAAAACTGCCTTTATCAAACAACCCTGTTAAATTAGAATTGTCGCCACCCAATTTTCATTTCAATTTTATCCCTCCCCCTCCGCCGCGTTCTTTGGCCCGTGTCGGTTTACAATGTTCCCCTGCAAAGTGCAAAACTAAATTAATTAAACGCAGTAAAACAATTTACTATCGCGCGCGTATAATACTGCGAAATATTGCGGTGAGAAACGGCAGAGCAAGAAACGCCGGGCCGGCTTATATTATAGTTATATGATGCCTTCAAAATACCGAGGTTTAGCCAACGGGATCCAACTACGTCACGTTTTGTAAATTCTGGTTCTCGACTAATTAAAGCGTTCGCTCTCTTTAAAGCAATTTCACCTGCGCCGTTGCGCCGTTTTTTCCTTTTTCCGTTTTCTTTCTTTTCTTTTTTCTTTTTTCTTTTTTTTTCTTTTTTGTTTAAACATTTTGCGCTCATTCGCTGGCACGTACGGTTCCTTTCAGCAACGTGTAAAAAAGAAGAAGAAAGAAGAGGAGGATTGAGAGGTGGAAAATTCAATTTCCATCGAACTCTCTCAATAGTGACGTCATTGGAACTTGGTTACTACACGATTCGTTCACTTACAATTACAATTACGACGTTCATTCAGCGCGCGCGTTTTTCATACGGTAAGATCTGCCAGAGATTACGCGACTCCTATTATGTGATTCGTGCTTCGTCTGCTTATTCTCTTTTGTAATTGGAGACAAAGGAAGCTTAATACCTTAAGCTTCGTTTCCCATTTCCATGCTCATGAGTGATTACCTGCAACTTTTTCAGCGAATTCCCCAAAGGAGATTGCGAACTGGAATCCGCCGGTAGTAATGAGAATATATTGCCGCTGCTACGTAGCGGCATTATCTCGTTACGCTTTTTAACTGCTTTCTCCGACTTCTTGCCGACGTCGAATCGAACGGGGCAAATTACGACGCATTAGCATTCAATCTGGG